TCAGCGTAAGGCCGCGCCCTTCCCCTTTCTGTTCCACCTTGTACCCTGGAAAGCAAACCTTCGGTGCAGCAGTACCTAAGGAGAGGGGAGTGATGCCCCACGTCTTCAGGGAAGAGTATGGATATAAAGTATTGGGCATTTTTCTGCATGAGAGATTTGCCTTTCATTTATTCAGTCCTTTATTTACATCAGTGTGGATGCATGGACAGTTGTTTTGCACTGCGAATTGTAATCCAGGTCTGTTTTGTTGTCCAGATTGTTCCCGCTTTGCCAAGTGAGAGCTCTTTCGATCGATTCCTGTGTGCCGTTTACCAAATGTCCTTGTTGCTGTGGAATTTGTTTCTGTTTGTCTTCTGCTATGAACTCTTCTTTACTTCCTGACTCTGCAAGGTACTCCAGGATCGTGTTGTATCTTTTCTGCCCCAGTCCTAAAATTCCCCACATCTCCAAGTAGATCCTGTTCCTTTTATCGGAGGGCAGTGTTAGGCGAAGATTGTGTTACTCATTTGTACTAGAGTGTCATTGCTAAGTGTGATGGTGCAAGCCTGTAGTCCCAACTGCTCCGGAGGCTGAGGAGAGAAGATTGTAGATTGGAGGCCGGCCTGGGCATCTGACAGCTTCTCAGAAGATGAAAAGGGCTGCTGGGGGTGTAGCTCAGTGTGGAGCACATGCCCGGCATGTGCAAAGCCCTGGGTTCAATCACCAGTATTTCAGTCCATTAATAACAGGATGCAGAGCACCATGCTGTGTTGTAACCCTGTTCTTTGGGATTGCCTAGGGCATTTTAAATTTCAGAACATCAAGAATTATTTTATTTATTTATTTATTTTATTCTTTTCCCTTTGGAAAGAATAAAACAAGCTTTCAACTAGTGGCACGTCTTCCAGGAAGCTAAAGGCATTTGTTCGACGCGTTTTGCTTTGCTCTGAGAGCATTCTGGTGGTCACCCACAAGCGATGTCCTGAAGGGACCAAAGGGTCAGCCTAGAGCTGCAGGAAGAAAGGTTGGTAGTGACGCAGGAGCTGGTTGTTGGTAAGGGCCAGCAGCACGGAGCATGTGAGAGCGTCCTGCCTCCTTTTCCCAGAGAAGATGACAGTGTAAGAAACAGGGGCCTCAGCCTTGGGACAGTCTTGGTGGCATTTAGCCAGGCGGAGTGTGGCTCTGCACCAGCTGTGTCTTGCATGTCCCTGTTAACACTGGGTCCGAGGGGCTTTGGGAAGTGTGACTGGTGAATGCTGCTGTGCAAACCCTGTCCATGCAGAGGGAGGCCCCAGCAGGAAGCGGGAAGCCATAGAACAAGACTTGGACATTGAATACAGAGGCGGAGAGTGCCTTTGGTCAGACTTGGTTGTGATATTGTAACTCTTACACACATGTGAATTGCTTCCTCCTAGTATCCCTTGGTTTATTCTTGTTTTAGATCGGAGCTCAGACCAGGCACCAGAAGTTGTGACTGTCACCTAAGTGCTGTTTTATACTAAGAAAGTAAGAAAGCATTTAAATGCCGAGAGTATTTCCATTATGCGAGGGCACCTACACTTTTAATAGTAACAGTCCTTACAGCGTTGCCTTTGCTCTCAGCAGAGGTAGTGGCTGCCTAGGAATCCTTCAAGCACACGCATGGAGTGAAAAGGACCCGGAACAAGCCTGGATCCCAGGGGGAAGTGAAGGCATTCTGTAAATAGCTGTGCTAGTTTCCTCCGAAGTTCCTGGCGCTCTGTCTAGGATTGTGGTCACGTGTGTTGGGGCTGTGTCTAATTCTGTGTGAAGCAGTGCGCGTTGGACCTCAGAGCCATGCAGAGACATCTGGATCTCTTCAAAGTTTTTAACTACTTAAACGACAGACTTAAAAATTTAGCGTGCCTAGGGATAGAATCCTGCCTGTCACCTGCGTTCATACGGTGATCGCCTCGCTTTTAACCTCCCACTCTCTGGAAGAGTAAAATGGGAACAGACCTTAGCTCTGAGCAGCTCCCAGGCCTTTGGCGTGGGCAAGCAGCGCCTGTTGCGAGTTGCGCCGGTTCGATTGCCCTCATTAGCAGGAACCCAAGGCTGTTCTGCATGCTGTGGGCGAAACGCCGTGTGTCTTTCACAGCCCGCCTTCCCTGAGGGGCCGCCGCAAACCAGGCTGACTGCCCTCTCTGGCCGCCTTTCAGTGCTCCTTCCCTGGAGATCCCGGAGTTGTAGGTTATTCCCTTCAATGGCAGTGTTGCTTTTTCTCCTTTAAAACTGTCTTCTTTTTCCTTCTGTTTTTGTCTGTTCCCTCTTTGATGATGAGCCTGTCTCTTGTCCAGCCCAAGCACATACTCACTGGACCACGTTCAGATTATTACAGGGGGCGTAAATGTTTGGTGAGAATTACTTGACACCTACCGGCACAGCCTGCTGCCCGTCTCAAGAGGACACAGAATTTTAAGAAGGCGTCTGCTCACCCATTTCCCACAAATTTGGAAATTTAGTGCTCCGGGCAAAAAGAGTTTGAGATGAAAAATCCTAGCCTTTAGAAAAATACCGCCCCCCCAAAATCATGACAGTGTTTTTAGTGCTTTATAAATAAAAAAGTCACTCTTTTCGTGAATAAGAAGCTATATAAAGATATATTTATATAGGGAGAAATATATCTCTCTATGTGGATATGTTATAGAGATTATATCATCATAGACACACATATTTCTATATATATCTATGTCCATATCTCTACTTTTTTTTTTGGTCTTTTTGAGTCAGGGTCTCACCATGCAGTTCAGGTTGGCCTTGAGCTCACTTGGTAGCCCAGGCTGATCTCAAACTCAAAACGATCCTCTGGCCTCAGCCTCCCAAGTGCTGGGATTACAGGCGTGTGCCACCACGCCCCGCTTTTTTATTCTTTTCTTTTCATATCTATACATTTTTGATTGCTCTAGATTTGTTCACATGTTCTGTATGTTTGATGTAGAAGATGAAAAAATTCAAATGTTTTCATTCTCTGTAGTCGGTACAGGATCCTGAAGGCGGAGTTAGAGGAAGGGGATTATATTCGGGGGAACACTGTAGTGTCACTTCTGGTTTTGTCCACCTGCATAAACAATCTAGGATGCAGTCACTAAAAGTCGCTGAGGCTCCGAAGTTGAGGGAAGTGAAGACCATTTCTTCCATTTCTTGGAAGGTCAGCGTTGTTAAGGTGTTGCTTTCACCAAATGTGATCGCTCCTGGGAATGAAGACATGGCGCGGGGTCTTAGGAACCGTATTCAGCCCCCGCACGGGGATCGCCTTCCCTCCAGCAGAAGAAAGTAGCCCCTGGTGCACAGTGTTTATGCCCAGGAGATCCACTTAAAACCCAAGGGAGCTCAGAGTGTGTTCTGGAAGCTGGCCACAGAGGTGCACCCTGCCCACATCAGTTTCACCTTTGAAAAAGTAAAGCAGCTGTGAGCCTCACTTCCCAGTGCCTCAGGCAGGTAAAACCTTTCCTTGTAGGAAATATTTCCAAAGCTGAGTTCCCAGACCCCAGCTCAGGGCCAGCCGTACAAAGGATCCTTTCTAAAAATGAGTCTCAGGCATCTGCGCTGTTTTCATGGAAACAATGACAGAAACTATAAAAGTAAGTTCAGATTTGAAGGAGACCGGTGCGGTGAGACCTTTCCTGCCTGGAATGTGTCACACCCTTCAATCCTCTTTTTTGGAACAAGGTGGGATATGATTCAGTCAAATAGGGATGCAGGGCTGACGGGAGGGTCTCCTTGTGCTCACTCTTTAATAGCATGGCTTCCGGTTGTGTTTTTCTCAGAATACCACTTTTCTTCCTTTCACAAAAACTTTATCAGTTGAGGATCATTATCTTAACCCCTTGTACCTGCTCATGACCCAGTTGGGTTCTGCAGCACAGAAAAGGTGAAGGATGGGTGTGGAAATAGTAATTCCGCTGGCCGAGCACTGGGTGCATCTCCTGGGCAGCAGGGCTTCTGCTGTTTGTCCGTGTTGCTGCGTGGGCGGAAGGAAGGTACCTGAGCCTAAATTTGTTGCCGGATATGGGCAGGCTTTCCTGTGAGCATTTTCCCATAGCAAAAACTGGTGAGCTGGGCAGGATGGTGGATGATAATATCCCAGCCTCTCAGGAGGCTGAGGCAGGAGGATCAGAAATTCCAGACCAGCCTGGGCAATTTAGCAAGACTCTTTCTCAAGAAAGGGCCAAGGATATAGCTCGGGCATAGCGTGCATGAGGCCCTGAGTTTGACCCTCAGGACCACCAAAACCAAACCTGGAGGATAATAATGAGGATGTTTAGGTATCCACTGTGTGCAAATGTACACGAAGAAGAGTGATATCTCCAACTGCCCTGTGAGGCCTTTTCCATTCCCACTTGGCCCAGGTGCCCTTGAGCGGCAGGTGTATTTTTGGGGTGTGTGTCTCTTCGTCCCTCTGAAGGATGCCTGCCGACTGTTCTGTGTCTGGATCTCATTATCAGTATCCCAGCCAAGATGTCTTGGTATCTGTAGCAATGAAGAGAAGTAGACACAGGATGTATCCGTGGCTTCCCTGAAGTTTGTGTCTGCACTGAGTCAGGAGGTTTCTTGAAGAGGAGTCAAGGGGCTGGGGATTTAGCTCAGCGGCAAGTGCAAGGTCGTGAGTTCAGTTCCTGGTACCGGAGAAAAACCAAAAAAAAAAAAAAAAAAAAAGAGGAGTCAAACCTCCTCGCTTGAGAAAGTGCAAAGTAATATTTAAAAGACAGAACCTTGAAATGCATGGAAAACATTTAATAGTCACCCTTAGCTTCAGATGTTCAGGTACTGACACCTACTTTATTTCTCCTAAGCCCACAGCCTCGGCCACCAGCTAAACTGACTCTGAGGGCAGAGCCCAGGGCCTGAACACCCACAGGAAGGGGTCAGGTTGTAGCCGGCAGCAGCCTCTGAAACCTGTGCCGCCAGCCCTCCCGCCTGCTGCCTCTGGCGGCCCTTTGGATCTCTGTCCTCCCTCCTTTTCCCTACGAAAGCTCAGCACCCGTGTCTTTCCCCTTTTGTAGATGCGAACCACGCGCAAGGTGTCCGTCTGGCCGGTGGGCCTGGTTGGCGGGCGGCGCTACGAACGTCCCCTGGTGGAGAACGGCAGAGTGGTCGGCTGGTACACCGGCTGGAGGGCGGACCGGCCTTTCGCCATCGACATGGCAGGTGAGGGCATGGCAGGGCATCGCTGCTGCCGGGGCATCCTCTGCGCTCCTGGGGTAACCGCCCACCAGAGGGGAGGCTTCAGAGTCATCAGGTAAAGCCCTGGGCCGTGTCGAATTCCGCAGATGAAATGCTGTGCTTAGACATTCCAGGTAGGCTCTTGAGAAACTGATTTTGCAAGTGATTGCCTCCCAGACATCTGTTAGCTGGGACTCTGAGGTGCTGTCGCAAGCAGACTGATTAATACGTAAATATATCACGTTCATTCATAGATGTAATAGTAATTTTAAATTCAGGCATTTTAATGCTTAGTGACAAACAGTGGTTTACAGGTACATTAAATAGCTAAAATATGACATCGGATTTCTAGCTTTCCTGGTGTGTATTAACTTTGAGAATAACCGTCTCAAGGTTTTTATTCTCTGAGCAACCAAGTGAATTGCATTAGAGCTGTAGCAGACCCCAAGTTTTACAGTGCTACTTTATCATAAAGTGCCTCGTTTTCTGTGGGCTGCGTACGATGACACTTGCGGTGGACTTCGCAAAAGGGCGTAGAGAGAAAAAACAGTCACTGACATCTGTAATACAGAAGACGAAGGCGGAAAGGCTTCCCAGTTGATCTCATCAGTCACCAGCTATCTGTCCGCCGGCCCCTGCTGGCCCCATCCTTCGTGCGTGCTTCCCAGCCGCAGCGGACGGCTCTTCAGAGCTCTGCCGGGATGAAGGCTGCTCTGTGCTGCGCTGCGCTCACTGCTCGCATGCTGAGGGTTGTGTACCTCTGAGGAAGCCAGAGGGTGAAGAATTGCAGGAGTGTGTTGGGCAGAACCCTCAAGGTGGCTGTGCGGTGGGTCTGTCACCTCACATGGTGAGAGGACAAACACGCGGATGTTTTTACTCCACCTTTGACATTTCCGGATACCTACTTTGTGTGACTCCGCGCTGTGGTCTTTGACCCCTAGGTGATCTGGATCGCTTGCCCCTCCTGGTCCCCGTCTGCATCCCTCTCTCCACCCCTGATTTTCAGTTCTTGCAGCCCCAGAGCTGAGCTGGCCTCTCAGCGGAAGGGTGCGCGTCGGGGTGGCTGGAGAGGCGGGTGAGCTGTGCTTGGAAGGACTGGGGACTCCGGGCGGGGCCAGGCCAGCCCAGGCGGGGTCCATGGCTGTGAAAATGAGGCTGACTGTGGTGTATCTTTTGAAAACCGAGCCTCTCGCTGGGCTGTAACGTACTGTCAAGCAGAAACTTCAGAGAACGTTAGGGAAAATCCTTTCAGTTGCCCAGAAGTGTCTTCCTGAAACAGAGCTATGAGATGGTCCTCAAGTCCTGCAATGTATTCCTTTTTCTCCCCGCTTCCCACCTGGGGAAGTTTGAAGAAAAGCCTCAGACTCTGGCTTGCAAGGCAGACTTGTTCGTGCCTGCTGAGGTGGCCAGCTGACAGACCTCTGCTCCTGCACTTGCCCTGAGCCTGGTTTCACAGACCCCCGCCCCGCCGGGTCTGCACACACAGCGGGCTTTGCCCATTCCTTGTCAAGGGACCTTGGAGAGTTTCCTGGATTCAAATACCAGGACTTAGATGGTCAAGTATCCAGGAAACCTGCTGACCGTTCGCATTGGTTCCCCCAGCGTTCGCATCCAGTGTTGTATTTCTAAAGTTTAAGAAAGACCAGTGGGTTTTACGTGTCAGGACCGACTGTGGCAAAACATCTGATGCTTTTTTATTGCTAAATCCTACAGGGCAGACCCACCTCATCGAGGAGCAAGGTGGGATGAGGCGGAGACCAGGGGCCGAGGGTGCACTGTCGCTCGTGCGCGGAGGGCGGAGGGACACCCGCAGGCGTCGCACCTTGGAGCGCACACCTGCCCACGCCCCCCAGGGACTCACGTCCCTCCACTCACTGGTGGGTTTGTGTCGTCACAGAGTGCCATGAGATAGAAAAGGAAGCACAGATGCAATGTGTGGGGTTTCCCGTCAAGGAGAAGGCAGCACCTCGCAGGGGCAGGCTCAGGAAAGGGCGCCGTGGAAGAGGTCATCTTCAAGGGTACCTTGCGCATTGGGTGAGGGTGAGTCAGGGACAGCGGGAAAGGCAAGCTGGGATCGGACCGCGAGGACACACTGCGGGAGGAGGTCTCTCTTCATCTCTGCAGGTGCTGGAGTCTTTGAACTTCTCAAGTTCATGACTGAAAGGATCAGAAATCCGTTTGCAGAGTTACATGTGGGCAATTGAGAGTGCACCTGGGCAGGTGGGAGTAGACGGAGGAGAGAGGGCAGGCTGAGGCAGGAGGGTCCAGGCGGCTGGGTGGGGAACTCAGAGGTAGGAGGAGGGAGGAGGCCTGAAATACCACAGCCGTCAGGGATGTAGCATTTTAGCAAGGCATTTCAGAGTCTGCTGAGAAGTCAGCAGACATTTAGGTCCTTTTCACACCTTTTCTGTGGTAGGACGTGGTCATGACTGATGTGCTACATTTAAGTTTGGTTTAGTTCTAATTGGTGTAATTTGTGTTATCCTTTGAGTTGTGATTCATGGGCAGAAAATACAGTAATCTTGGGCAATTCTAGCAGTCTATTAACCAGAATACTAATTGTGTAAAACAGAAGTTCGAGGATGAAAGGGAGAAAGATCCCATTGCCTGGCCGACGTTTCCAGGCTCAGGACGGGTTGGTGCTGTGCCGTTCTAAGGGGTTAGGGTGGCATTTGGAGGGTGAATCTGCCAGGCGTCCTGTGAGCTCCCCTGCGTGCTGCCGCCCCGTCCTGCCTGAGAGCAGAAGCAGGAGTCCAGGAAAGCTGAAGGCGCCCGGATGGTTCCCATCACCTGATCACAGATCCTTGGGCAGTCGAGCTCTCAGGAAGACACTTCCTCCTCCTCCTCATGGTCAGCTGCAAACCCTTTCCACCGCCCCGGCCCTGCCCTGCCCTCTGCCTGACCACAGTGATCCCCTTTGATGGCCCTTTGGGGGCGCCCTCTCCTTCAGTGCCTCCAGCGTATCCTGACCTTCACCCCACATCCTGGCAGGTGCTGGCTCCTGGGATGCTGCCCTCAGTTCACCCCGCGTGTCCGTCAGCTCTCAGGGTTCGGGCCACCTCCACAGACGCTGTCGCCATCACCCCAGATGGAGACAGCCCCCCCAGCACAAGCTGTAGGCACCTGGTAGTGTCGCATCTCCATGGCCACCACGGAGGCGCCTTCCCCACCGTGCAAAAGACCCTCGAGGGCTGCTGCTGTGGGAGCAGGGCAGCCCCAGCGCTGCAGGGCTCCTTTGTCTTGATATTTGTCAACAAGGAATTCTGTCTGGCTCCATTTGCACAGCAAACCCTTTCTTGATAGAAATGCTACGATAAACAAGCCAGGAGTGGGGCGCACACTTGAAATCCCAGCACTCAGGAGCCCTAGACCCCCGTGAGGTGAGGTAGTTTAGTGAGACCTTGTCTCCGAATTAAAAACTGAGTAGGGCTGGGGAAGTAGCTCAGTGCAGAGGCCCTGGGTTCCGTCCCTGGTACTGCAAAATAATTAGTAGTAGTCCTAGGAGAAGTGGGAGTAGTAATGTGATGAACTGAAGTCCTGGGTCAGATTTGCCATCAAAGTGTAATAAGCAGGATCAAAACTAATGAAATTTTTACCTGGGTGTGCTGGCACATGCCTATAATCCCAGCACTTGGGAGGCTGAGGCAGGAGGATCATTGCGAGTTCGAGGCCAGCCTGGGCTGCAAAATGATCTCAACGCCAGCCTGAACTGCATAGCGAGACCCTGTCTCAAAAAGACCAAAAAAAAAAAAAAACTAATGAAATTTTCTCTACTCCACGAGTATGAATGACTGCACGCAGATGCAGGGAGCAGCTTTCTTTTTCTTTGGGGCCATCTGTAACTCAGGCGTCCTGTGTCTCGTGCATGGAAGTTTTGTAAGAGAAGCAGCAGCTGTGAGAGCTTGATGTGCTGTCTGGTATCCTGTAGCGTAAGTTATGCCTGGGGACCAACTTGGGGCTTTGTGTGTCCCTGCTGTGTGACTGTCCCTAGAATTTTGTGTGGGTTTCCAGGAGAGAACTGAGGCTGCTGGGGGTGGCATCCTGGCTGACAGCCCATGACAAAGGAGGGACAGGCTTGGGGCAGTGGCGCCTGTCATCAGCCAGGCCACTTCCTGCAGTGCAGCTGCAGGCACTTGGCATGGTTAGGTGAGATAGGGGGCTCCGAGGAGCGCGGGAGGGGTGCAGGAGATGTGGGGAGAGCTGCATCCAGAGAGGCTGCTGACTCCCAGACCCTATGTGGACCTAAAGCATTCAGCCTGAATGTCCGGCGCAGTCCTGGTTTCTTACATGTAGATTAGGCATCATGCTGCCTGCCTTCCCGGCGGGCTGACGGCGGAGTGAGGCACGTGTGAATATTCCTCCTGCTCTTTGCATGTGAAGTCCCTGCGCGCACTTAGCGATTTCAGTTCCCCGGACAAAAACCAAAAAAAAAAAAAAAGTGAATGCTGCTGCTGCTACTGAGTACTTTCTGTCCAACAGAAACGCCGGCTCATACAAACATGACACTCTGTCCTGACTCACTTTGCTCACCAGATCCGCACTGTGCCACTTCTGGCTCTTCCTCAGACTCAAAATGACCATGAAAGATGAACATTTTGTTTTGTTTGGTTTGGTTTGGTTTTGGTTTTTCTCCGGTACCGGGAACCGAACTCACGACCTTGCACTTGCCAGGCAGGCGCTTTGCCGCTGAGCTAAATCCCCAGCCCAAGATGAACGTTTTGAATCAATCCAGGACACTGAGAAAGCTGGGACAGTGCAACTGAAGACACCCATGGAAGAGGATTCCAGAACTGCTTCAGAAAGTGGCGAGAACAGTGGGCTAAGTGTTGGGAGTGACGGGACTCTGAGGGGAATCAGCGGCAGTGTGACTTTTACTGTAGTGGACTTTAAAAACGTAAACATTCACCGTATGTTCTGATCACACTTCAGTCACCTCAAAACTCTGTCCACTTCCCTCTCCCAAGCGCTTCAAAGTCCCTCTCAAA